CACACACACACACACACACACCAAATGTTTGGGAACTTCTTGCAAGTAATTACGGACAGTGTCAGATAGGGAAAGGGACAGATTGAACGATGAGGCCCCTGGTGTACGAATAGCCATAGTGACAGTTAAGGCCTCACACACCTGACAGATTGCCCAGTGCCTGTGGAACTGTCAGGGAGGGAATGGTTTAAATATATCTTGTGAGCTTGTTGGATGCTCACAGAGCAGCTGGGTCCAACGTGGCGATGGACTCACTTTGGGCATTTACTTGCCTGCCATTTTGGCTTCTTTGTGTCTGAAGTAGAGGCTCTGGGCAGCTTCAGTTATCATTGATGACCTTGTTGGTTGGGCTCCTGCTGGTGACAACATTTCCAAAGTGTTTCAGAGTCTGTCTCTCTCTCTCTCTCGAGTGGGAGTGGGGTGCGGTCCCTTTAATGAAAAAATCTTGACAAACAATTCCTATCCTTCTGTTCCCATCGTCACTTCATGAATCTACTTGTTTCACTTGTTGCTGCTGTTCCTCATACTTCTACCGAACTCGATGTTAGTTCTGCTTCTGTAGACACCCATTAATTCCAGTTAACCCAATATATTTCAAACTGACTACAGAACTTGTTTCATGGTTAATATTGATTTTATAATGTACAGCTCCAATAGCTGCAGCAGATGAAAGGTGCAAAGTGATTCATTTTGGTCAAATGAATACAGATGGACAATGTAAATTACAAGGTACAATTCTAAGTGGAGTATAGGAACAGAGGGGCCTGAGTGTATCTGCAGGAACGGACGAACAGTCAATAAAACATACAGAGTCCTGGGCTTTATTCATAGGGGCATAGTGTACAAGAGCAAGGTGGTTGTGTTAGACTTGAATAAGACATGGGTTCAACCTTAACTGGAGTAAGACACAGGGGCAGAAGTTGGCCATTCAGCCCATCAAGTCTGCTCCACAAGTCAATGAGACAATGGCTGATCTGATAAACCTCAACTCTATTTTCCTACATTTTTCCCCACAACACTTGATTCCCTTATTGATTTAAAATTTGTCTATTTCAGCCTTGAACATAATTAACAATCCAGTCTCCACAGCCCTTTGTAGGAAAGAGTTCCAAAGATACATTACCCTCTGAGGGAAGAAATTCCACCTCGTTTGGTCTCAAATGGCTGACTGACAGAAAGCAGAGTGTCGGGATAAATACTCCTTCTCTGGGTTCTGAACCGTAACTAGTGGAGTGCTGAAGGGTTCAGTTCTCCGACCTCAACTATTTACACTGTATATATAAATGATCTGCAAGCAGGGACAGAGAACACAGCAAAATTTGCAGATGACATTAAAATAGGTGGGAAAGCAGGCTGTGATAAGGGGATAAAGAGTTTACAGCGGGATATTGATAGGGTAGGAGAACGGGCCAGGATCTAGCAGATGGGGCTTAATGTAGATAAATACGAGATCATCCATTCTGGCTGAAAAATTAAAAGAGCAAATTATTATTTTAAATGGGAAGCAGATTCAAAGTGTGTCAGTGCAGAATTGCAGAAAGTGGGTATGCAGGTGCAGCATGTAATAAGAAAGGCAAATGGAATCCTGGGATTGTTTGGAAAAAGACTGGATTATAAAAGTAATGAGTATTGTTATAGTTATATAAGGCTTTGGTGAGACCACGTGTGGAGTATTGTGTCCAGTTTTGGTCTCCTTACTTGAGGAAGGATGTGGTGAGTCAGTTCAGAGGAGGGTCACCAGGTTGATTCCAGGGATGAAAGGGCTGTCGTACAAGGAGCATTTGAATAGCTTGGGCTTGTACTCGCTGGAGTTCAGAAGAATGAGGGGAATCTGCTTGAGGTATATAAAACGCTAAAGGGGATTGATAAGGTGGATGTTGAACAGATGTTCCCCCTTGTCAAACAGTCTCGAACAAGAGATCATTAGTATAGAGTGAGAGGAGGTTGGTTCAAAGCTGAGATGAGGAGAAACTACTTCTCTCAGAGGGCTGTGAATCTGTAGGACTCGCTGCCCCAGAGCACAATGGAAGCAGAATCAATCAACAGATTCCAGGAAGAAACCAGTACGTTTCTGATGAAAAGCCGGATAAAGGACTTTGGGGAGCAGGCAGGAAAATGGAGTTGAGACCAGGGTAAGGTCAGCCATGATCATGTTAAATGGCAGAGTAGGCTTGAACGGTTGAATTGCTTCACCCTACTCCTAATTCCTGTGTTCCTATGGGTGAGCCCCTTCTTCCAAGACAATGCCCTCTGGTCCTAGACTCTCCCACTTGGGGAAACAACCTCTCCATATCTACCCTATCAAATCCTCGAAGAATTTTGTATGTTTCAGTAAAGTCACCTCTCGTTCTTTCAAATAACCTACTTGATCCCTCCTCATAAGATAGTCCCTCTATAGCCAAGATCAGCCTAGTACACCTTCTCTGAACTGCCTCCAATGCCAGTATATTTGTCCTTAGATAAGGGACTCAAAATTGTTCATTGTACTCCAGCTGTGGTCTGACAAGTGCCTCGTATAGTTTTATCAAAACTTCCCAAATTTTATATTCCATTCTCTTTGAAATAAAGGCCGACCTTCCATTTGTTTTTCCCATTGCCTGCTGAACTTGGATGCTATCTTTTTTGTGATTTATGCAAGAGGACTCTCAATAACGTCTGTTCCATAGCTGTCTGCAGTCTTTCTCCATTTAAATAATCCTCAGCTCTTCTATTTTTACCGCGAAAATGCATAACCTCACATTTCCCACACTATTCCATCTGCCAGGTGTTTTGAGTATTGGGTCCCATCCTTGGTACAGCACTTCAAGAGCCATCTGTTGGAGAAAGTACAGAAAAGATTCACAACAAGCATCCATGGATGAGGACTTTCAGTTAAGGAGATTTATCGGAGAAGCGGGGACTGGTTTGCCTGTAAAGAAAGGTGTTGAGAGGTGTTTTGATCGAGGTGTTCAAAACCATGAGGGGATTGGGACAGAGTTGATCGGGCAAAACTCTTCCTGCTGGTGGAAGGATTGAGAACCGGAGGACACAGGACTTAAAGCGATTGGCAAAAGAACCGATAGCGAGATGAGGAAAAACTTTGAAATTATGTGAGTGGTTAGGGTCTGGAATGCACTGCCTGAGAATGTGGTGAAAGCAGGTTCAGTGAGACTTTCAAGTGGAAGTTGAAATATTATCTGAAAAGGAACAATGTTTTGATTCATACTCATGCCCAACAAAGGATGCATTCTTGAAGGGGCGTAAGACAGATTTTCCAGATTCACTGTGGGACTAGAAGGGTTACATTTTGAAGGTTGGTGCGAGGTTTCATACTGCCTTGGAAGTGTATTTCCTGTGTTTAAGATGATTAACGGATTTGATGTCAGTTAATCACTATTTTGGATGTCAATTGATGTCTAAATGCTTGGTTTTAAATGTATTGAGGACATTTTTATAAAATTAGTTCAAGGGATGTTAACATTACTGGCTAGCCCTGCATGTATTACTCATCCCTAATTGCATTGGCGGTAGTGGTGGTGAGCTGCTTTCTTGAACCACTGCAGTCCTTGAGGTGTAGGTAGACCCATAGTGCTATAAAGAAGGAAATTCCAGGATTTTGACCCAGTGACCACGAAGGAATGGTGACATAATTTGCAAGGCTGGATGGTGAGTGGCTTGGAAGGGAAAGTTGCAGATAGTGGTGTTCCCATGTATCTGCTGCCCTTGTCCTTCTAAATGGCGATGATCATGGGTTTAGTGGGTGCTGTTGGAGGAAACTCGGTGAGTTGTTACAGTGCATCTTGTCAATGGTACATACTGCCATTGAACATTACTGGTAGAAAGAGTGAATGCTTGTGGATGTGGTGCCAATCAAGCGGGTTGCTTTGTCCTGGATGGTGTTGAGCTTCTTGAGTGTTGTTGGGGCTGCACCCATCCAATCAAGTGACTTGTACATTGTAGATGATGTACAGGCTTTGGGGAATGTGGTGGTGAGTTAGTCACTATTGAAATCTTAGGCTCTGACTGGCTCTTGTAGCTGCTGTATTTTTATGGATGGTCCAGTTCAGTTTCTGGTCAATCTTAACCCCAGGATGTCGATAGTGGAGGAATTCAGTGATGGCAACAACAATGAATGTCAAGAGGCAATAATTAGTTTGTCTCTTGTTGGAGATGGTCACTGTTGGCATTTGTGTGGTGTGAATGCTACTGGTCACTTTTCAGCCCAAACTGTTAAAAGTCTTGCTGTAATATTGACTAAATGATTGCACTTTAGGGAACAAATGCTGTAGGCTGCAAAGAGTGTTAACTTCTGGTAGAGTATGGAGAAAAATTAATTTCTAAATGTGGGGGAAGTCCAGAACAAGGGGTTCAACCCCAACTTTAGTCCCAGGACAAACAGGATACAGGCAGAGAGCACTTGTTCACACAGAGTGTAGGTTTTCATCCTGTGGTATGGGCTGGGTCAGAGTTAGGCCCAAAAGGTGAAAGGTCAGTGATGAAGCAAAGGAACAGGAGGCCAGTGAGGGAGCTAATCAATGTCAGCCTCAAAGGACCTGCAAATGGTACAGTACAGGACATTCAGTCAATGAAGAATATTGCATTGATGAAAATGCAAGGCCATGACCTTCACTTGTGTGGGACTGAATGAACAGACTAGTGGGAGGTGGGGACCTGGTTTTCTGCTAATGCTGGGGCGCGGGGTCCCAGACATGACTGGTGAGGGAATGGTATCCTTTCCAGCGATCTCCCAGAGCAGGTCCTACACCAGCAGGCAAGACCCAGCAGGAAAAATGTGGGCGTCAGACCCTGAGGTGTGGCCCTCATACAATTCTGAAGAGACTGTCTCTACAAGGGTGGCAGTGGGAGGTGAAATTGGGCAGGGGACCCTAAGTGTTGGGCTGAGAAGGCCAAATGGGATGGAAGTGAGGGTTGAGGGTGGGACGAGGGTTTGGGGGGGGCATGGGGAAGACTGTGGGCTCTAGCACACCACATCGCCCTTTGGCAGAACCTCATTGAAACAGGAGAGGCAGTGGCGTGGAGTTGGGAGAGAAGGGGATAGAGAAGGGAAGGTATGAGAGAGAGGGGTAGAGAGGGAAGTGAGGGAGAGGGAGGAGAGTGGGTATTGAGGGGAATGACTCTGAGTCACTATTGAATCATCTGTATTCTGGAATGTTCCATTTGCTGGCTCGTTCCTTTCAGAGAAGACGTGACCAACATGATTTGGATCAATTGGACACTTCTGTTTTCCTCTAGAACCTTCCAATGACTAGGGAGTCCAGAACCTGGGATCATCGTATGGGTTGATGGAGTTGGCCATTTAGGACTGAGATGAGGATAAATCTCTTCACCCAGGGAGTGGTTCGCCTGTAGAGTTCTCTGCCGTAGAAAGTGGTCGAGGTCAAAACATTGAATTTTTTCGAAAAGGAGTTTGAAATAGTTCTTAGAAATAAAGGAATTGAAGAGTATGAGGAGAAAGCAGATCAGGTACTACGCTGGATACTCAGCTTGATTATATTGAATATTGGGGCAGGCTTGAAGGACCAACTGGCCTAATTCTGCTCCTATTTTTGATGTTTCCAGACCTTCTCTCTGCCAAACCATAATCTGTCTATCCTGAATGGTACCAGTCTATCTCTGCCACAGAGTTCAGAGGGGAACATTGTTTACAGTTCTCAGACCCATGGATATTATTGCTACTGTAAGTTCGGGAATCTGGCAGCCAAGGGGTTAAGTCTCTCATTTCTGTAAAAGTTGATTGCACACAAGCCCAAACTTGAGCTGAGTGGGAGCAGGAGGTCAAAGGTCTCAGTGGGACAAAGAACATTCTAGATTAACACCTCGAGCTTTAGCATTCGGCTAGAGAAAAGTCTCCAAGTTAACCACACAGGAAATGAAGTCAACATCCTCCCGGCACTAATTCTTCACTAACTGACAATCATGTGAATGATTGTGGGGCTGGGAGAGAGGGACAGAGCTGCTCCAACAAGAGGGCTGAGTCACAGCATCACGTGGGATTCCAGAAACAGCACATAAAAGGGTCCAAATTTCATACATTTCGGACAGAAGACAGAGTGAGCTGCCAGAGAATCCGATAGGCAGAAATGGAAACCAGCACAGAGATCACAACAGGAACCATCAACCACACACACAGGTAGGAGGCAGACAGCAGCTAGACTTGTGTCTGAAACCAGAGTCGCACCAGGTTTTGTAGCTGGAGTGAGACCAGTGTTTGAATCCAGAGTGAGATTCATGTCTGAATGAGTCCAGATCCTGAATCTGGAGTGAGTCCCCATTATACATCTGGGGTGAGACTCACATCTGATTCCAGAGTGAAAACAGATTCTGAATCTGGAGTGAGACTAGATAACAAATCCAGAGAGAGAGAGAGACTAGCGTGACAGCTGTGTGTGAAGCCGGAGTGAGAGCCAAGTGTGAACCCGTTGCTGGGCATCACAGCTGGTGCGAGCAACCTGTGTAAAGATCACAACAGATTAAATATTTACAGGCAGCAGTTTCAGTTTGTTGTCTTTCAGGGAGTGAAGATCAGAGGAAGGTAGTGATTACAATACCATAGCACTAATGGCTTTCTGGTATTTTTGCTGGACTGTTAATCCAGAAACAAAAACAAAGTTGCTGGAAAAGCTCAGCAGGTCTGGCAGCATCTGTGGAGGAGAAAACAGAGTTAACGTTTTGGGTCCGGTGACCCTTCCTCAGAAACCCTTGGTGATAAACTGGGGACCTGGGTTCAAATCCTGCCACAGCAGATGGTGGAATTTGAATTCAATCAAATTCTGGAACTAAGAGTCTAATGATGACCAAGAACCCATTGTCCCTTGTTGGAAAAATACATCTGGCTCACTACTGTCCTTTAGGGAAGGAAACTGTCATTGTTACCTGGTCTGGTGTACATGTGACTCCAGACCCACAGCAATGTGGCTGACTCTTACCTGCCCCCTGGGCAATTAGGGATGGGCAATAAATGATGGCCCAGCCAGAGATACCCACATCCCATGAATTAATAAAATAGCCCACGATTAGTACCATAGCATGTAACTGAAAATGCTGACCTCTCTTTGACTAAGGAGTTCAGGTGTCTTCGTCAATGAATCCAAAAAACTGGCATTGAAATTCAGCAGGTAATAGGGAGGACAAATGAATTGATGGCCTTCATTTCAAAGGGAATGGTGTAAAACAATAGGGATGTTTTGCTAAAACTACACAAGTCAGGCCACAATTGGAATACTGTGAGCAGTTTTGGGCCCCTTATCTCAGCAAAGATATACTGGGATGGGAGGCAGACCAGAGGAAGTTCACGAAGCTGATCCTGGGAAGGGAGGGACTGTTTTATGAGGAGTGGTTGAGTAGATTGGCCTTTGCTCATTGGAGTTTAGAAGAACGAGAGGTGACCACATTGAAACAACAATTAGGGAACTCACCTGGGTAGGTACCGACTGGCCTTGTTGGAGAATGTAAGTACAGAGAGCATTATCTCAGAATAAGGGGGTCACCCATTTAAGAGAGATATATAAGTAGGAACTTCTTCTCTCAGAGGGTTGTAAATCAGTGGAATTCTTTACTGTACAAGGCTGTTGAGGCTAGGTCATTACGTAGATCTCAGTGACCCCCATCACTGGACACTGTCTCTATGACACCACAAGATTCCTGTACCCCTGTGCGGTCTTGTGGGCCAGTCTTGGGTGGGATCCTCAGACCTGCGACCTTCTAACACCACTGAGTATGTGAACACCCCAACACCTTGCCCATGAGTATTTCTGGGTCAAGAGTCAACAGGTCTCCTGTGTCTGGAGACAGGAAATGCGTTCCTTCTCTAGATCTCTCCTTTCCAGACGAGCGGGCAGGACATGGTTCATGCCTGGGATTGATCGTCATGCATTCTGCAACTGAGTAACCAGCTAATATTAGCACGCAGTCCGTGTATAAACAATGGTCACATGGGTGAGAGTATGATGGCTGTGGAATCACAGGCTCCATGGGAACTCATTGCATCATGTTTTCCCTTGGGCAGCCCTACCCTTTGACCCCTCGAGCTTGGTGTGACAGCTTCCACAGTTGACAATCCTGACAACACTTAGCTCTTAGTCGAAAGTGCGTGTGTATGTGACAGAGCGATAGACCAAATAAGTGGCTCCTCCTTTGACACTGCCCTTTGACCTCTTCTTTCCAGCATGCCGTCTGACCTATCAGAAGCCCTGAAGCTGGCCACAAAGGATTCGCACGAGCTGGCCGAGAACTCGGAGTTCATGAGAAACTTCCAGAAGGGTCAAGTCACCCGGGATCAGTTCAAGGTAATGGAAGGAACTGGGGATCTTTTCAAATCGACCAAAGCAGATCTCCTTCTACCTTCTAGATTATCTATCCTGTGTTCTTCAGTCAGAAGATTCCCCCTGAACAGAATCAGAATATCTCATGCACAGCAGGGGGCCATTTTGCCCATCAAGTATGAACTGACTGAAGGAACTAACACGTTGTCCCAAACTCATTATCCAAATTGGATATCTGGATCTGCTTTCCTATCTAGATCACAACTCTGAACTGGGGAACAGTTCCAGCACAGTAAGAGGCTAATCAGCCCCTCATGTCTGTGCTTGTGCTCTGAAGGAACAATTTATTGACTACTCCTCTTCAGTTTACTCCCCATAGCCTTGCACATTCTTCCTTCTCGGATAGCAATCCAATTCCCTCTTCAAAAGCCTTGATTGAACCTGGCTCCACTGCACTGTTCAGCAACCCATTCCAGATCCTGCGTCTGTCTGAAAACCATTCCCCTTGATACACCATCACAACTCTTTGCCAATGACCTTTAAATCAGAGTCCTCTGGAGCCCCCTCCCCCCAGTCCTCCTCGGGTGGGGACAGCTTCCCCTCGTGCACTCTGTCCAGGCCCCTCAGGATTTTGAAATCTTATATGGGATCTCCTGTCAGCCTTCTCTTCTCCAAGAGAAAACATTCCAGATATTTCAAGTCCCAAGTTTCACACCTTTAGGGTACAAAGTAGGAAGACTTGCTTTGCAGTAGCCACTTACTTCGCCCCCAGAATTCCTAAAGTGCTTTAGGGCCAATGAAGTGCATTCGGACTGTAGTCACCGTGGTCGTGTTGGCTGATTGTGGGATCTTGCTGTGTGCCAAGCAGTGATGAGGTACTGAACCCTGTTTCAGAACCTTGGCTGAGGGATGTAGCTAAGGGGCAGCCTGGTGGCACAGTGGTTAGCATTGCTGCCTCACAGCACCAGGGACCCGGGTTCAATTCCAGCCTCAGGCAACTGTCTGTGTGGAGTTTGCATGTTCTCCCTGTGTCTGCATGGGTTTCCTCTGGGTGCTCCAGCTTCCTCCCACAGTCCAAAAATGTGTAGGTTAAGTGGATTATGGGGTGATGGGTCTGGGTGGGATGCTCTGAGGTTCAGTGTGGACTTGTTGGGCCAAACGGCCTGTTCCACACTGTAGGGATTCTATGATGTATGTTGGCCCCAGGGAAGCAGGGCCTTGGTTTCACTTCTGAAAGATGGCACCTCCAACAGTGCAGCACTCCCTCAGTATTTTTAAGAGAGTAGGCATAACCTGTCATCAGTGTAACCTGGGCCTCAGGCTCACCAAATTCAGAACCCTCAGTGCCCAGTCCCCTCGCCCAGAAGACCCTCACTATGTTGGTGTCAGACAGTGAGCTTGAGCTGAGGCCTGCTCACGATCCTCTTTCCCTCTGTCCCTCCTGCAGCTTTTACTGGACTCTCTGTACTTCATCTACTCGGCCCTGGAAGAGGAGATCGAGAGGAACAAGGATCATCCGGCCTTCGCCCCTCTCTACTTCCCCTCAGAGCTCCACCGGAAGGAAGCCTTGGAGCAGGATCTGGAATATTTCCATGGGCCGGGCTGGCGGAGCCGCATTGAGTGCCCAAGGGCCACGGGAAAGTACGTATCACGGATCCAGCAGGTTGGGCGTCAGGAGCCTGAGCTGCTGGTGGCCCACTCCTACATCAGGTACTTGGGGGACCTGTCAGGGGGGCAGGTGCTGAAGAAGGTGGCCCAGAAGGCATTGCAGTTGCCAAGCACAGGCGAAGGGGTCGCCTTCTTCACCTTTGACTGGATCACTAATGCCACCAAGTTCAAACAGCTGTACCGCTCCCGCATGAACACCCTGGACACCGGGAAAGGGATAAAAGAAAAGATCCTGGAAGAGGCAAACCGGGCCTTCCAGCTCAACGTGGAGGTAAGAGGAACATATTTGTCTTTTTTTTGTAATGAAATCCCACAGATTTTTGGTCATGATCCTTGCTCAGTTTGGCATGAGGCTGGTTTGACCTTGTCCTTCACCTTAAGGCTTTCTGGGCCTTGTGGTTAAGGCTCGGCCTTCTACATGAGGCTGCCTGAAGCTTATTGCCTCCGCTTGGCTCTCAGAACTGTTTCTAATTTGTTTGAATGCAATCTTCACCCTGGGCCTAGCTGAGGTTTAATGCAGCTGGCCCAACCTTAAACCTCGTTGGCTGATTCCGCCTATAGCCCCACACAACTTGGCCCTTAATTGTTTTTTCGCTTCACCCTGGGCCCTCAAATTTGTTTTCTTCTTCATCTTATTTCAAATGCAGGTTTTTGCTGAGCTGCAGCAACTGAGAACTCAGAACCAGAAGCCCGGAATCAGGTAAGAGTGTGGAGCCAGGATTGATGCTCTATTCTTCCCAAGGCAGACGGAGGGTAAAGATGCAGCCAAACTGCCCAGTGATGTAGCTCAGCCCTGGAACTCCCTACTATTAAAGGTAGAGAGAAGCACAGAACACTAAAGGGATAGGGTACATGAGCTGCTCGGGATTTTCCACGATTCTCTAGGGTGCCCAACCCATGTAGATATGTTTCCATGGGGAAAGTCAAGGCCTTTGGGAGAGGACGAAACCATCAGACCTGGGCTACAGTCCCCACCGAATGGTCCCTAGACTCAGCCCAATGGTGGCCCAGGGACAACACACACTCCAGAAGGGAGATGCTAGTGACAGAGACAGAGACAGAGACAGAGACAGAGACCTTTCTGAATCCAATGACTAGCAGCCAGCAGGAGAAGTTCAGGGCTGGAGTTACAGCTCTACTCAGTGTCAGTGTTAGAGTTGGGATCAGTGTTAGGGTCAGGGTCAGAGTAAGGGTTTGGGCTTGTGATTGAATTAGCATTAAGGCCAGAGTCAGGTTTAGGTTCTGGTTTGGGCCTGTGTTAGGGTTAGGTTTAGCGTCAGAGTCAGGGTTAGGTTGAGGGTTTCGTTCAGGGTTAAGGTCGGAGTAAGATGACAATCAGGTTTTGGGTTCAGCTTGGGTTTAATGTTTGACTGCATTAGGCTTGGTTTTAGGGTCAGGGACAAGTTTAGGCTAAGGGTCAGGGTCAGGGTCGGATTCAGCACTAAGGTTAGGGTCAGGTTTATGGTTCAGTTCAGTGTTGGGGTCCGCTTCAGGGTAGGGTTTAGGGTCGGATTCAATGTCAGGGTCCAGTTTAGGGTCAGGTTCAGTGTTGGGGTTGGGGTTGGGGTCAAGGTCAGGCTGCATTCGGGTTAGATTTAGAGTCCTGGTTTGGGTCACATTTAGTGTTTATCTGCTCTGATAGAACTGCCAGAAGTGGTAGAGTTTGTCGGCAGAGTATGACCACTGTCTGTTGTGTGAAAGTGGCCCTGGCTATACCAGCAGTCTCCCTCCTCCCTGAGGAGATTGTACCTGGTCACAGGTTCCTTTAAGATAGCCAGCAGCTGACCATGAATGGATACAGGCTTTGGGAGGTGATGGGATGGGCTGGTGACCTCAGTCCCACTGGGTAGTGTGAACCCAGTCGGAAAGTGAACACTTGTAAACATCGAGACCATCCTCAGTGTGACGGCCTCTACAGTCAAACAGCCAGCTGAAACTCCCCATCCAGATTCAGTCATGGGTAGACAGGGCTGTTTCAGGTGGGTGGGGAGAGCAGCAAGTACAAATCCCTCTGTGTTTTGTTGGTAGTGAGGTTGGGGGGGGATATGAGGCATTGTATAAGGTGGGGGTGCTGAATAAGTGACCCCGCCTGTGGTGGGATTGAGCCAATCTAACACTGCCCTTTGACCTCTTGGTCCCAGCATGCCGTCTGACCTATCAGAAGCCCTGAAGCTGGCCACAAAGGACTCGCACGAATTGGCCGAGAATTCGGAGTTCATGAGAAACTTCCAGAAGGGTCAAGTCACCCGGGATCAGTTCAAGGTAACATATGGCTCTTCGAATCACACGCCCTCTCTCCTTCAACCTATCACCTTTCACCTCCCATTGCCACTCCCAGCTCTCTCTCAACCATTACTCCCACTTCCTATTCACCTTTCCTACCCCCCACCCTCGTCCTCCACCTCTTCCCCTACTTTCTGTAGGATGGTGATCTCCAGGGGGCAGCACATGACACTCTATGATCTCACCGAGACACCACTTCTTAACAAGCAGCGCCAGTCAAAAGATAGATAGAAATCAGGAATCTGCACATACATCACCAATAGGCCTCACCCAAGGGACCTGGGGTAAATTGCAGCTTTGGACCTAGACTGAGGATGATACATCAGACCAGGATGTAATCCCAGGGGTCTGTCTGGTTAGTACATGCAGTATCAACATTGGGTTGGAAGGGAGCATCCAAATGGGAGAGGAGAGTGGGAATGTCACTGGACACGGAGTCCAGTGGCTGAGGCTAAAGGTCTAGGGACAGGGGTTCAAATCCCATCAAGGTACCACAGCAGTTCTGACCCTCCAATAGTGCAGCAGTCCCTTAGTATTGGGGAACACCGGAATGGGCTTAATAATGGTGGACCTTCCCTTCTCTCAGCACCCAGCCCACTCACCCTCATCTCCACTCCCCTCATCCCTGTCCCCTCACCCTCACCACCCACTCCCCTCTCCCTCAAGACCTCACTATGTTGGTGTCAGACAGTGAGCTTGAGCTGAGGCCTGCTCACGATCCTCTGTCCCTCTGTCCCTCCTGCAGCTTTTACTGGACTCTCTGTACTTCATCTACTCGGCCCTGGAAGAGGAGATCGAGAGGAACAAGGATCATCCGGCCTTCGCCCCTCTCTACTTCCCCTCAGAGCTCCACCGGAAGGAAGCCTTGGAGCAGGATCTGGAATATTTCCATGGGCCAGGCTGGCGGAGCCGCATTGAGTGCCCAAGGGCCACGGGAAAGTACGTATCACGGATCCAGCAGGTTGGGCGTCAGGAGCCTGAGCTGCTGGTGGCCCACTCCTACATCAGGTACTTGGGGGACCTGTCAGGGGGGCAGGTGCTGAAGAAGGTAGCACAGAAGGCATTGCAGTTGCCAAGCACAGGCGAAGGGGTCGCCTTCTTCACCTTTGACCGGATCACTAATGCCACCAAGTTCAAGCAGCTGTACCGCTCCCGCATGAACACTCTGGACACCGGGAAAGGGATAAAAGAAAAGATCCTGGAAGAGGCAAACCGGGCCTTCCAGCTCAACGTGGAGGTAAGAGGAACACTCAAACTCCATAACCATGGTGACTGTTATATCCTTCATGTGAGGCCAGCTTTAATTGCCCATCTCTTGCTGTGAGCTGCCTTCTTAAAAATGTAACAAATATATAAAATAAGAGCAGGATAAGGCCATTCAGCCCATTGAGTCCACATTGTCTTTCAATATAATGGCTATTCCTCCAAGCCATACTCCTGCTATTTCCCCATTTCATTTGACACCGTCAGCTTCCATCCCTTTTCTTTATATAAGGTGGCACAGTGGCTCAGTGGTTAGCACTACTTCCTGACAGCACCAGGGTCTCTGGCTTGATTCTACCCTCAAGCAACTGCCTGTTTGCACATTCTCCCCGTGTCTGTGTGATTTTCCTCCGGGTGCTCCAGTTTCCTCCCACAGTCTAGAGATGTGCTGGTTATAGTGGATTGACCACAGAAAATGCGGGATTATGGGGATGAGTTGAGGTGGAGGTCTGTGTAGGATGCTCTTCGGAGATTCATTCATTTAAGGGGCTGAATGCCGTCTATCTATACTGTGGGGGGCCACTGATTCTACTTGGTGACCCAGCCTTCTGAGATGGAGAATCTCACAGGTTCACCATTCCCCAAGTGGAGAAATGTCCCCCCTTCAGCTCACCAAATGGCCCACTGAGTATCAAGAAACCCTGACTCCTTGCTCTGGATCGCCCCCTGGCCTGGAGGAAACATTATCCCTGCATCCAGTCTGGCTTGCCCAGTCAAAATATTACACGTTTCAATGGGATTATTTGAAAACCCCAGTGAGTACAGGCCCAGTCAACCCCATCTCACCTCATACGACAAATCTGCCATCCTAGGAATCAGTCTGGTGAACCTTAACTGCACTCCCTCTGTGGCAAATATATCCTTTCTCGGGTAAGAAGACCAAAACTGTTCAAAAATACTCCACGTGTGGTCTTGCAAAGGCCCTGTACAATTACACCTGACCCACTCATCCCCCATCCCATTTATACCAATTTCTCAGTCATTAAAAGCTTCCCCCTCATTTCCTGCTGCAGGTTTTCCGTGAACTCCAGGATTTGTGCTCCAGATCGGAGAGAAACGGTACCGTGTACAGCAACGACACAGAGACCAGGAGACGCACTGTCGCTCAGGGTAAGGGGTGGTCTAACTCAGCTGGGCTGGGTGGGCAGGGTGTGACTGGGGTGTCAGACTGGGCTGTAAACTTCACCATAGTGCCAAGGAAACACGTGTTCTCTGGCCCAAATGTGTTGATGTCAAGTATTCCTGTTGTCTCTACTTTTTGCACAGACAAAACCAGCACTTGTTGCTTGTCCTTTTGTAAAAACGTACTTTATCCATTCAAAAACAGAATAAAAGTTATCACATTCCTCATTTGCACTTTCCTAACTGGCCTTGAACTGAGCCTGTCTCTAGGCCTAGATCAACCATGATCTCATTGAATGGCTTAGCATGGTCGAGGTGCTTAGTCTTGCTCCTTGTTTGCATGTTCGGAGAGCAGTTAAGAATCCACCACATTGTTGTGGGTCTGGAGTCACATGTAGAACAGACCAGGGAGGGACGGCAGGTTTCCTTGCCTGAAGAGGCATTACTGAGCTCAGTTGGTTTTATTTATGGTAAGCGATGGCGGTTGTAACGGTCACCATCGCTGAGATTTTCAATTCCCAATTCCCCAATGATTGGAATTGAAATTCCCATAGATGGATCAGTTCCTATTGGTCAGTTTTGATTGATCAATGACAGTTATCTTTTCTCTTCACAGGACCAACAACACCTACAGGAGCCAATCAGTATCTGCCACAGCCGTCCGATGATTCGCTGATGCACAGCCAAGGCCTGAGAATTGTTGTGTTGATTGGTTTAGCTGCGGTGTCCCTTGCTGTTGCATGTTACCAGTATGTATTGTGAGAACTTCAGCAGCAAGACACTCTTTCCTCCACGTCCATGTTGTCGTACTAACTGAATTTGGCCAGTTTTCAGCCCCCACCTCAGTTCATAGATTTCTTGCCTCAGGTCTGGAATGGTGTGGCTCAAGTCCCACTCTTCATGACCCTCCAGCATGGTACTGACGGGGTGCAGCACTGTCGGAGGTGCCAGCTTCTGTTTGAAGTGTTATACCGAGGTCCCACCTCCAGATGAACTATTCTGAAGAGGCGCTGGGGAGTTCTCTCTGGTGTCCTGGCCAATAATTATCCCTGAACCAAAGTCATGCAAGAACAAGCAGATTGACTGCTCATTGTCACTTTCTTGTGGGAGCATGTTGTATGCAAAGTGACTGCCTTGTTTCCTGCAAGTAATGACTTTTCGAGAATTACCTGATTGATTGATTGTGAAGCAATTCTGGCTGTCCTCGGGTAGTGAAAGCCACTATATAGATGCAGAATCCCTCCCTAAAGCTGCATGAGGTCCATGCGGTGAGTTCACTCTGGCCCAGTGTGGGGCGGGAATAATCACCAGTTGCCCAACTCCCATCAGCCCCTCTGTCAGGGTCAAAGGGGAAACGAGATTCTAGAGGGCAAGGGGAATGTGTCCCTGTTCCACAGAGGGCTCAGTGCTTGCTGTTTTTCCCTGTTGCGATTCAAATTACGAAAAAAAAATTTGCCAAGGGGAAGGCAATATGGGAACAGGAAGGGGCTTTTCAGCCCCTGGAGCATGCTCTGCTCATAGAATCCCTACAGTGTGGAAGCAGGCTACTCGGCCCATCCACTCTGCACCGACACTCTGAAGAGCATCCCACCCTTCCACCCTATCCCAGTAACTCTGCATTCCCCATGGCTTATCCACCTAACCCACACATTCCTGGACACCATGGGCAACTCAACTACTTGCACATCTTTGGACTGTGGGAGGAAACTGGAGCGCCCAGAGGAAACCCACGCAGACACAGGGAGAACGTGCAAACTCCATACAGACAGTCGCCCGAACGTGGAAATGAACCTGGGTCTCTGGCGCTGTGAGGCAGCAGTGCTAACCACTGAGTCACCATGCTGTCTGTTCAACTCCATCATGGCTGCCCTTAAATTTCAACTGCCTTAGCCCCACATCCCTTAATAATCCAACCAAGCAAAAGACTGGAAACTGACTCCAGGGCCTGGGTCAGCATTTATCACGTATTAATGTCTTTGAGAAGGTGGTGGTTTGTTTTGTTTTGTTTTGGAGCTACTACAGTCCATCCACTGTAAATACACTGAACTAGGAAGGGAGTCCTTAATCTAGGCACACCCTTCAGTAAAGATGTACTTTCTCTTTGTCTAACTTACTGTGTCTTTTTTCAAACTTCACTGATCGCACTTTCAACCATCTAAACTCAGGAGCACATACATTAAACCTATGCAGGCCAACTTCATAATTTACCCATTTCAGCTTTTCCACCACCAACAAATAATCTCGTTCTAGTGAATCAGTGCCTGCTGGCAGGTCACCCCTCTTCGGGTAAAATGCAGGATTGGTGCATCTGCAGTTTTTGGGACTATGACCAGGCTTTTGATCACCTATCCCATCCACATGACCAGCAGTGAGGCCTTCAAATGTGGGAAGTTCCAGTTCGTGGAATTTTTGTTCACTCGCTTCTGCTTATCACTGAAGAAAAAACAGCCATGTTTGATATGATCATGTGAGTGGAATCATGCTGTGCTTAAACATCCTTCCATCACAACGATGACTGTGCTTCAGATATGTTTCATTGCTTGGACAGCCCTATGGGATGTCTGATTCAAAGGTGTGATAAAGATGCGATTTCTTTCTATTTTTGTTAGTTTCTGTATATACACATATGAATATATATTTGTACAAATTGTTTCCAACCTATCTCTAACTGGACAAGTGCATTTGAATTAAAACTGATAGTGATTTCAGATCCTGTCTTGTATTTGTTTTAACTGTTGTAGGAGTGTGGGGATTTAATCTATTCTGGAGAATAATTTATCTCAGCAGTGAGGTGCGTAGACCTTCAGATTGCCCAGTCTGTCTGCATGGACCAGTCAGTTCTGTAATTGTGATGCCAATTGGTCCTAGAATAGCAGTATTTGCAGAAGAAGAAAGCCATTTGGCCCCTCTGGCTTTCTCTGCCTTTCAATTACATCCTGGCTGATTTGATTTTGGCCTCAACTCCACTTTTTTTTTGACCCCCAATAACCATTGATTCCTTTGTCAGTGAAGAATTTATCTTTCTCACCCTTAATATTCAATAATACCCCCATCTCCACTGCCTTCTGGGGTAAGTTGCAAAGGCAAAGAAATATTTTCCTCACCTCTGAAACGACTCCACAGAGACCAGTATCAGGTCTAAACAAGGAAATCCTATTCTATGAGAAACAAAAACAAAGTTGCTGGAAAAGCTCAGCAGGTCTGGCAGCATCTGTGAAGGAAAAAACAGAGTTAATGTTTCAGGTCCGGTGGCCCTTGACTGACCTCATTACAATCACTAAACCCACCATAACAACTACAATTATTGTTTTTTGTTAAAACCCATCTGGTTCATTCATATCCTTTAGGGACAGGAACCTGCCATCCTTACCCAGTCTGGCCTATTGTGTGATGCTAGAGCCACAATAATGTGGTTGACTCTCAATCAAAGAATTGTTATGGCGCAGGAGGCTGTTCAGCCCACTGTGACTGCACTGGTTCTGGTACCTAGTGCCAATCTTCTCCCCATATCCCTAAACACCATTTCTATCCAAATAATCATGGGCTCTTGAATGTCTCAGTTGTACCTGTGTCCACCACATTTCCAGTCAGTGGACTCCATACCGTAACTACACAGTGTGTGAAACAGTTTCTTTCTCACCTCACTTTGTTTGCAAGTCACTTTCAAATGACTTCTAACGTGGCAAGCCAGTCTACTTGAGGGCAATTAGGGATAGGCAACAAATGTTGGTCTCACCAGTGACGCCCACCCACATCCCAGGAAAGAATAAAGAAATATAAAAGCTGGCTCCTGTGGCAAGAAGGATTCTCAATGGAACAAAGAACAATACAGCACACGAACAAAAGCTGACACATTTTGCCCTACAACTTGGTGGGAGGAGGAGGGAAGAGGGATGGGAGGAGTTTTAAGACTCATCCTGCCTTTGGAATGAGGTAGGGGACAATACAGATGGGTTTTGGTCAAAGATCACAAAGCAGGGATTCTATATTCCACTGGAATGTGGTCATTACAAACAGGAATGCAAGTTAAGGATCTATTTACACTACGTACATGGAATGAAGCCTCTGGGTCTCATTGGGTTGATGAATTCTCTGTCTCTCTGTGCCCTCTTCCCATCAGCTCTTCTTCCACCAAAGACACTGTTTTCTTCCAGTGATCATCCCTTTGAATATGCTGGCAGTCACCTACCTCCCTCACTGTCAACACCGGCAGGCAGAAGTCCCACTGAACTACAGAGTTCCCTCACCGTGTGCCCTCCCTCACTCAGTGCCCTCCATCACCATCTCCACCTGCTTCTGGATGTCCTATTGCAATTTCATAAAATCCTTATGGGGCAGAAAGAGGCCCATAGAGTTTGCACCGACTCTCCGAAATGCATCCCACCCACCCCCGTAATCCTACATTGGGTTTTTAACTACAACTAACCTATTTAACCTGCACAACCCTGGACATTACGGGGCAATTTAGCATAGCCAATCCACTCTAACCTGCACAACAGCCTGGGGGTTACCATTGATCAGAAACTGAACTGGACTAGCCATATAAATACAGTCACTACAACAGCAGGTCAGAGGTTAGGAATACTGCAGACAGTAAGTCACCTCCTCACTCCCCAACACCCGTCCACCATCTACAAAGCACAAGTCAGGCATGTAATGCAATTCTCCCCCTTGCCTGAATGAGTTCAGCCTCAACAACACTCAAGTAGCTTGACACGATCTAGGACAAAGCAGCGCGCCTCGTTGGTACGCTTCTACTTTCAATGCACAGAGGCAGCAGTGCATACCATCTACAAGCTGCACTGTACCACTTAACAGGGCTCCATTGATAACACCTTCCTAACCTGAGACCTCCTAATCATTTAGAAAGGCCAGGGCAGCAGACACATGGGTACAATACCACCCAGGTGTTCCCCTCAGACTCAAAAATCAACCTCAGTAGCCCCACCACCTCTGGCCTCTCTGTGTCTCCCTTGTCTGCTCTACACTCCCCACTAGCCCCACTAACCCGGCACTTTTCCCTGCAACCGCAGGAAGTGCTACACCTGCCCCCATCCCAGGCCCCAAGAAAACCTTCCACATTAAACAGATGTTCACCTGCACATCTGTTAATATGGTACATTGTATCTGCTGTTCCCGATGTGGCGTCCTTTACAGCGGGGAAACCAAGCGGAGGCTTGGAGACCGCTTTGTGGAACACCTACGCTCGGTTCATGACAAACGACTGCACCTCCCAGTCACGAACCACTTCAACTCCCCCTCCCACTCCTTGGACGACATGTCCATCCTAGGCCTCCTCCAGTGCCACAATGATGCCACCCGAAGGCTGCAGGAACAGCACCTCATATTTCGCTTGGGAACCCTGCAGCCCAATGGTCTCAATGTGGACTTCACAAACTTCAAAATCTCCCCACCCCCAACCTCATTCCCCGCCTCCTTGACCTATCCGTCTTCCCTCCCACCCACCCACTCTTCCCTCCCAACTGACCAACCCCCTTCCCAACTCCCTACCTACACTCACCTTTACAGGCTTCATCCCTGCCTCCTTGACCTGTCCGTCTTCTCTCCACCTATCTGCTCCTTTATCCACTTTCCATCATCGCCTCCTCCTCTCTCTATTTATTTCAGAGTCCCCTTCCCCTCCCCCAGCTGTGTTCATCCAGCTCTACACCTTGTTATCCCAGATTCTCCAGCATCTGCAGTTCCTATTATCTCCAGACCCGAAATGTCAGCTTTCCTGCTCCACTGATGTTGTCTGGCCTGCTGTGTTCATCCAGCTCAACACTTTGTTATCTCTTACTTGGAAATATATCACTTTCTACTCTTAGACCAGTAATCTGCATTGGAGGCAAGATGGGTTCAGAAAGTGCATAATACCCATTGCGCTAACAATTGAAGCAAAAAGGTTGAAAATCTTGAACAATATGTTAAACCATTATTAACCTGATGGTTAGGCCTCAAGCGCAGTATTATGTCAAAATCTGAATACCCTCCTTCAGCAAAAATGTCAAGGTCCTGCATAGGAGGTAGACTGGAATGATTCCAGAGATGAGGGATTTTAATGAATTCAAGACCAAAGAAGAACTTCATGTGGGGAAGATTCATGTGTGATTTCATAACCAAGTTCAAATTGATAAAGGATTTTTACAGAATGTAAGGAGGAATTGTAAGGTTGGCTCAGTGGTTAACACTGCTGCCTCACAGCCCCAAGAACCCCAGGTTCGATTCCAGCCTTAAGCAACTGCCTGTGTGGAGTTTGCATGTTCCCCCTGCGTCTGTGTGGGTTTCCGCTGGGTGCTCCAGTTTCCTCCCACAATCCAAAGATGTGCAAGTTGTGTGGATTGACCACACTAAATTGCACATAGTGTCCAGAGATGTGTAGGTTAGGGTGTTAGCCATGAGAAATGCAGGGTTATGGGGATGGGTCTGGGTGGGATGTTCTTTGGAGGGTTGGTGTGCACTTGTTGGGCTGCATGACCTGTTTACATACTGTGGGGATTCTATTAAAAAAACTCTTCTCAGATACTTTCTAATCAATCTGTTCAAAGATGTCATTTTACACTCTGGAGCAGGTGACACTTGAACCTTCCTGCCTCAGAGGCAGGAACAATATCATTACACCATAAGAGCCAACAAGAAACTCTTTCCATTGACAGGGCAGTGAATAAACAGAGGCAAGAGATTGCTCATAGCAGAGTGAGGAGAATTTTCATGTTGCATTTGTTGTGATCTGAAATTCTCTATCTGTAGGGATGGAAGTTTCCAAACAGAATTGGTTAAATATATGGATATTTATCTATTTCCACACAATCACTATTTACAACAAATGTAAATATAGGAGGCACAGTTAATAAGTTTGCAGATGACACCAAAACTAGTGGTGTAGTGGGCAGTGAAGAAGGTTATCTCAGAGTACATTGGGACCTTGATCAGATGGGCCAATGGGCCAAGGAGTGGCAGATGGAGTTTCATTTAGATAAATGTAAAGTGTGGCATTTTGGTAAGGTAAACCAGGGCAGGACTTGTACAGTTAAGGGTAGGGCCCTAGGCTGTGTTGCTGAGCAAAGAGACCTAAGGGTGCAGGTGCATAGTTCCTTGAAAGTGGACTCGCAGGTAGACAGAGTGCTGAAGAAGGCATTTGGCACACTTGCCTTAGTTGGTCAGAACATTGAATATAGGAGTTGGGACGTCATGTTACAGCCGTAGAGGACAATGGTAAGGCAACTTTTAGAATACTGCATACAATTTTGGTCTCCCTTCTACAGTCATTGTTAAACCTGAGAGTGCAGAAAAGATTTGCAAGGATGTTGCTGGGACTGGGGGGTTTGAGTTATGGGGAGAGGCTGAATAAGCTGTGGCTTTTTTGCTGCAGTGTTGGTGGCTGAGGGGTAACTTTATAGAGGTTTACAAAATCATGAGGGGCATGGATGGGGTGAATAGCTGAGGTCTTTTTCCTAGGGTGGGGAAAATTAGAGGGCATAGGTTTAAGACAATAGGAGAAACATTTAAAAAGGACCTAAGGGGCAACTTTTTCATGCAGATGGGCGATCGTATATGAAACAAGTGGCAGACAAAGTGGTGCAGGCGAATACAATTACTACATTTAAAAGGCATCTGGATGGGTACAGGAATAAGAAGGGTTTGGAGGAATATGGGCCAAATGCTGGCAAATGGACCTGGGTTAGATTGGGATGTCTGGTTGGTGCAT